GGCCATGAGTATTTTATATTAAGAGAACTTCATTCGTTCGTCAGTAACATGAGTAATTTCTTTGCTGTATCTGAGAAAAGTTTTCAAAACCCGGAAGGATACTTACTTAGTTTTCTTTTGTGCTATTCACAACATAATGGCAACGTGTTTTGAAGTTTAATGTACATTACTTTTTTTCTATTAGTTCCTTAAGTCTAGACAACGAGACAATAAATCAAGCCATGATTTGTAGCACGTACCAATTCCTGTGGTGTAAATACGCTTGTCGTGGCTGATCTCAAGCTACGGATTTGACGTCCTCAAACATGGAATTGGGAAGAAGATACACTGTAGCCACCATCTTTAGGGTGTTTCTACCACATGGATACAATAGATGTAAGAGCACAGATAATTGTAAAACAGAAAAACAAGTAGGAAGTGACGAATTTCAAGTATTCATTACCTCTGTTGAATATAATGTATTGAACTGTAAGCTTATATATAATTCAGCTTTTAAAAATGGCCTGAGTTGAACAACCAGCTCACCACAATTCTATAATCTAGGAGCTGGCTCTCCTGGGTCGGCACAGGTCAGCTGGAGCGCCTAGTTCTGGTGGAGGGCAGGAGGCACCCTTCCCCTGGCCTCCCTGGCCAGTCCCCACACACAGCTCCAGTGGCCTCCACAGCTCCACCCTTCTTTCACAGCCATTCTTCTTTCTCTTAGATGCCAAAAGCAGAAACTCCCCAAGATCGAACCTGAAATTCCGCTTTGACAAGCTCAGCCACGCCAGCTCTGGTGCGGTAAGGACGCAGTGAACACCTCCCACACCCCACACTCCACTTTCCTGCAGAGGCCAGAGGAAGAGGGCTCAGACATCCCAGAGGGGGCTCCCCGAAGGAGGCAGGGGAAGCTCTGGGGAGGTCTGGCTCCGGCAGGTGCAGGCCGTGGCTCGGGGTTCCAGCCACCTTTGCCACAACTCCTGAGTTAGAGCTACACCTCTGGACGCGGCCAGGTCCAGATGTGAGGTGGGAAGGGCTGGTTCCTGGGGTCCCAAGTGCCTTCCTGAGCTCGCCAGACTATCGAGAGCTCCAGGCCCAGATGTGAGGTGAGAAGGGCTGGTTCCTGGGGTCCCGAGTCCCTTCCTGAGCTCGCCAGACTGTCGAGAGCTGCGTGCACAGAGCCGCCGCGAAAGGGGCCTGTGCTGTCTGGTTATTTATTTTAAACTCCGGTATGGATTTTTGTTGAAACAGGGTCACTAATCTGAAAGCGGAGTCCTTCGCCTGTCCCAGGTGGGTTGAGTGAATGTTTGTCCTGCTGTGGCCGTGAGGGGGGACATGTGTTTCTTTTACATCGGGGTACTAGTGGCCTCGTAACCTCAGAATGGCCGGAGAGATGCCGCCAGCTGGGGAGGTCCAAAGAGTTGCCTCGCCCCTGAAGACCTGCGGCGGGAAAGGAGGGGCAGATGGCCTGTGTGCACATGGAAAGGGGGTTCCCAGTGACACTGGACCAGACGTACTAGATAGGCCTCCCTCCCACTGATGGCGCCTGGTTCCCACAGGCAGAAGGGGAGTTGTCCAAGCCCGATTCTGACCCAGGAGGGAGGAGTTCCTGAGTGCCGCCTTGCTCCCCTGCCCTCAGGCAGCTGTTCCCTCCTTGTATCTTTGGCGGAGGCCCTGGGCTGAGGTGTGTCCTCCCTCCCTGCTGGGGGATGCCCCTGGCAGTCAGCACTGTGAGGGACCACCCCAGGAGGCCTCTGCCCCTGCCTGCTTTGAGGGGCCACGCGGTTTCAGCAGAGCGGCCCTGGGTCTAGCTTGCCCCCATCAAGGCCTGGATTTCCGCTGGGGAAGTCACCAGAGACCCATCTGAGCCCCCAGCCCTCTCCCCACATGGGGTTCCAGGGATTGGAGTCACAGCTGGAGCCAAGCGGAGGGTACAACCAAACCCACTTTATGTTCAACCTGATTTATGAGAAAGCAGAAGACAAATGGGGCATATGGACCTTCACCCCCAGCTCCCATCGTGCGCTCCGGACGCCACTGCCCACCAAAGCCGTGGCTACGCGCGGCTTCTCGGGCCACGCAAGGTGGAGCCCCCTTACGTCGGGTGCCCTCCTGCTCCTAAGTGTATCCAGTGAGCTGTAGCCATGGCAGGCGTGTTCCCCACCCCTTCCTCCCGGCGTCCGCATCGTCCCCTCCTTCCTGTACGGAATGTTCGCTCATGGCCTCCTTTCTCCTTGTCTCCTCAGGGAAGCCCCTCTTCTGTCCTGGAAAAGGCTCCTGTTCCAGCAGTTTGGGAGTGCCGCCGATGACCCTGACAGTCCCAGCCCCGCCGCCCCCCGGCCACCTGCCCACAGACGTGCTGTCGGTCCCGGTGTCCCAGTCTGACCACAACCCTGCCTCCGCCCTCATCTACATGCCCTCCCAGCACCTCCCATCTCTGGGTGAGGCCTTCCTCCTCAGGTTCCTCCCACTCCTGACCTCCCAGTGTGATGTCCGGGTCGTTTATCATCCTGTTCAGCCTGGAGAGGAAAAGAGAGTTGGGCAAAGGGGGATCTCGGGGGAGCTCAGCAGTGACTGGGGAGCTGGTCTGCCTCAGAGACGGAGTTGGGGGCGGGAGCAGAGCCTCGGTGAGGGTCTTGGCCATGGGGCAGTGCCTTCCCGGATGCGATAGGCTTTACTACCGGGAATGCACTCGGTGGTGGAGGTGTCATGTTCCCAGGAGCCAAGATTCGTAGCATCCTTGAGGCCATCCTGATAAAATTCGGCGCTCTTGCCCCCGTATCTCTGGAGTTCTAAACCGTCTATCTGCTTCTGTGCTGAGCATCTTTCCCATCTGCTGACGTAGACCCAGGGCTGCCCCGCCCCTGCTGCCAGTGTACTGTGAGCGGGGGCTCCAGCCAGTTCAAGCTCAGAGACGGAGCTGGATGGGCCGGGACACTTCCTGGACTGTGGCAGGAACTCTGGGTTCCACCCAGTTTCTCCTGATTATGGCTGCTG